GGTAATTACTAAATTAATAAAGTTGAATTTTAAAATAGGATTTTAAATTTTAAAATCCAAAATAATAATAATATGATTATTATAATATTGGGAAAATGATATAATAATAAAGTCTTGAGAAAGATTCTCAAGATTTATTATCCAATTATTATTTATATCTTTAAATATGATTTAAGGATTAAAATAATGAATATGATTATAATAAAATGGTTGTTGATGGTTGTTTGAACTACTTAACATATCTTATTATTTTCAAAGTCAAAAGTTAGTAAATACTATTTAAATAAAATTTGATTTTATTTAATATTACTAAATGTTGATTATTTTATGCTAAAATGTTTAGTATAAATATATGCAAAATGGTTTTGCATTTAAGTGAGGTTTTGATCCTAAATTTCTAAGTGTTAGAAAGAGAAGAAAGTGTTCTTCATAAAATTTCAAGAAAGAGTTCTTAAAAATTTCCAAATAAAATTAATAAATATTCCTATACAAGAAAACCGAGTCTTTTCTACTAGCGAAGGAAAGTCGTCGGAACTGGGCTTCATAGGGTGGATACGTTTAGAGGGAAGACACTTGGATTCCTCTAGCGAGTAACCTCAAGTCGTTGAAGTTACAACTGGGAACCGATTCCCTCATCCATCATCAATAGTGAAGGAGTTCAAGACATTCGGTAAATATTTTTACTAGTATTTATTTTATAGTAACAAATCAAAATTTGTATATGATGCATGTTTTAAAGATGACGATCAGTTAATTCGCAATTAGTATGTACGGGTGTTGTATTTATACGATAAATACTTACTTTAAAAATTTTAAATTCCGCTGCGTACAGCCCGTACGGTACTATCGAACCCAACATAGACATGGCAAAAGGGCCGCCCGTCCCGCCGACCCGTCACTGAATCGGCCCAAACCCGGCTCGGTCAAACCCGTTGACCACGGGTCCGAGACCGGCCCGGATTTCAGACGGGCCGTGTAAGGGTCCTGTTTTTTTCGTCACTGACCCGACAGGCCGGGCCGGGTCCGGTCCGGCACGGAAAAATGTAAAAGATTTGAAATTTTCTTTTTTTTTTTCCTTTTTTTTAAAGATAATGGGACAAACCCGGGTTGGGCCCGGCTCGGCCCGCCGGGCCATGGACCCGGCACGGACCTAGGCCGTGCTGGTTCAGGGTCAGTCCAACCCAGCCCGTCGGGAGCCTAGCCCGTGTTTTGGCCATGTCTAGAATGGACCAAATATTCAAAGCCTGGCCCAAAATAGTTTCACCGGCTTAAAAATAAAATTATATATTAAGTTTTTAACAATAAATTTTATAACATAATTTAACTATATTAATTTAAATATTATGAAAAAGGTAGAAATGTTATCTGAAATTATAGAGTTACAGTCGGAGGGATTTGAAGATTATGATTTGTGGTGATAATGATTCTGACGATAACGTTAACCACAAACGTTGTATATAAATAAATGTTTAATAATATTTAGATTTTCTTTCTTAATTTTTTTCCAATGACTATGTTATGATTTTTACGTTCAAATGTTTTGATTATTTTTTTCCTGTATCATATAGCTTTCCGTGCAAATGCACGGGCCAAAAACTAGTCTAACTAAACAAAGTAATACGAATTAACGTCTAACCTCCTTGTAATTAGTCTTGTATTTGAACACTGATCAGATAAAACACAAATCATTTAATACCATATAATAAATCTTTGACAAATCTCAAAGTCAAAAACTCAAAATACAAGTTATATTTATTGAATTTCTTGATTATCTCTATGAACTTGCCAATAAAATTATGTGAATTCTGATTTCAGATAGTCAAATGTAGTACAGTTAGAATGGGATGATAATTCATATTCTAGGTTTCATTTGTAATTCATTTGATCCGATGGACAATAAATATGATATCATATTTGTTCACGCATTGCTTGACAATAATCTTAACAATAAGATGAAATATAAGATCAAACATAAAAGTGGAACACGAAGATCAAGACAAAATACACACGAAAGTAAAATACGAAGATGAAATCTAAATACACGTGTTTTGTTCTATGAGATGCATAACATATATTTATTATAAGTATGACTATAAACGAGCTCAACCGAGTTCGAGCTTAGAGTGGTCGAACTCGAGCCCTTAACGAATCTGAAATCGAGCTCGAGCTCGCCTCGTTTATCACTAATAATGAACCCAGTTCGAGCCGATATCGAATTTTAACAAGACGAACGAGCTTTAAATAAGCTCGAGATAAACGAGCCGAGTCGAACTCGTAAGGAAACGAGTCGAGTAGAGTCAAACTTGTTTAATTTAACATCATTAATGATAAAGTCATATTTATAAAAGTATTTAATATTAAATAACATAATATAAAATATAAAAATAAAATATAAGATTTGTTTGTGATCCCCTCTTATCCCGAATTATAAGTGAACGAGATTCCTTATCCATTTTTTAATTCCATATCAAATTGACGTGAGCAAGAAACCTACACCTCCAGTGCCCCCACAAGCCACAGAGCACACAGTCACACGCACACACACTCTAAAAAAAAGTCATGAATCGCTTGCGTCACGTGATCCGCACGTGCTCCAACCGACTCCTGGTTATAACCCGCCACCTGGCAGACACCACTGCTCTAACAACCCCGACGCCCCTCCGCCACTCGTCTCCTCCTCTGCGCCGGCGGATTTCTCGGTTCGATTTTCTATCCCCTTTCAAAATCCTCCAAACGCTCCGATCGATCTCAATCCCCTCCTCAACCCCTCTCGCGCTGGATTCCATGGGCTCCCCGGCGAAGGAATCCGACCGCATTCCCGACGAGGCGAGGAGGATCCTCAAGTCGCTGGCGGCGGACTGGAGCGACATCGCAGACGCGGAGGCTCTGCAGGTGGTCCCGCTCAAGGGGGCCATGACGAACGAAGTGTACCAGATCAGGTGGCTCACCAACGCCAGCCCCGGCGAGCCCCTGCCTAGATCCAGGAAGGTGCTGGTCAGGATCTACGGCGCCGGCGTTGAGGTTTTCTTCGATCGCGAGAACGAGATCCGTACGTTTGAGTTCATGTCCAGGCAAGGCCAGGGCCCAAGGTTGCTCGGCCGGTTCTCTAATGGACGAGTCGAGGAGTTCATTCGAGCTAGGGTAAACGTGCCTTTTTTCTTTTCTTCTCCTTTTGTTTTTGGTTGGTTGTGCGTTAAGCTTTCTGTTCCTCTGTTCGTGTCGTCGATGAGCTTTGCTGTGCTTTTCTGATGCTTAAATTTGGGGAAAATTGGCATTGATTAATGTTTCCATAACCTGAAAGTAAGCAATTATGATCATGGTGCATTGGCTCGTGCTTTTTCTTTCTTCTCTTTAAGTTACCTGTCGATGTTTGTTGGTAGTCTGATGAAAATGGAACAATATCTGTATCTGTACTGTAAAAATGAAGTGATGAATATCGATTAACATAAGGCCTTCAATTTTACTGTTTTCAGACACTTTCCGCGGCTGACTTGCGTGATCCTGAGATTTCTGCTCTTATAGCAGCCAAAATGAGGGAATTCCACAAGCTAGATATGCCTGGACCCAAGACTGTTGTCCTATGGGGTAGATTGCGGTACTTTCTTCTTTCTCGAACTCTTTGATTTTGGGTTCACTATACATTTTATGAGATATGTTCTCTGTTATTTCAGCAATTGGCTTAAGGATGCCAAACGTTTGTCTCTGAAGGCAGAAGCAGAGGAGTTTCGGTTCAATGTCCTGGAAGATGAAATATCAGAGCTGGAAAAGAAGCTCTCAACCGATCATCAACTTGTTGGATTCTGCCACAATGATTTGCAGTATGGTAACATAATGATGGATGAAGTGACCAAATCAATAACCATCATTGTGAGTTATCAAGCTATTGTGGTTGCCCTTTATTAAGAATACGCTGTTCACTTGAGTCCTGTCTGGTTAAGTTTTTCTTCTTAATTTCATATAGTTATTGACAAGATGTGAAAAAGCACCGTAGACTTTAACCATCGGGGAAACTATGGATATAATAAAAACTTTGTAAAAGTATTGAAACTTTAATTGTCTACATGTTTTGTAATGTGATTGTATGAAGTGCTTGTGACTTTTTATGCACATTCAGTTAGTCTATCAATGCCTTTAGGTGGAGATATGACACCCTGGTTATATGACTTATTAGACCGTGGGGGTGGCAGGTATCCTAATGGTTTTTGATTGACTCTGGTCAAAATGCATATGGTTTTCGTCAGGTAAACCTGATACTGACTTTTTTTGTGTTTTCTTTACTCTTCGATTTTTCGAGTGGTGGGATGGTTTATACTTACAACTTTCAACCCACCCGAAGAAATATCAAAGGACTTCAAAACTGATCATTTTTTTTATCTAGAGTCCACCTTTAAATGAATGTGACACAGAACTGTCTTTCTTCATTTGGTTGTGGTGGCATCTTTCCTTCTCACACACCTTTACATCGGTATTTCTTCCTAGCTACAGGTTGTGGTTTTGCATTTATCTTTCAGTGATGATAGTCAAATTACATTATTTGATTGAAATTCGTAACAAGCAATGTTTTTCAGTTACATTTATATTAAAAGAAGCTATAACAATATGTTGCCAATAACTAATGACGTCAGGCTCTGGTATCTGATTTTATATAATAGGAAATGAAACAGTTCTGAAGTTACAACTTTAAGGTTCAGTTCACTAAGATATAAGATTCTGCATGCTTCTTTCTCAAATGTCATAAACAAACCAAAGTTTAAATCAGTTAATGTCGGATTTGTTAACCATTGAGCTTATGCTTCTGGTTTTATTCCTTCAATTTAAACTGCATTCCCGTTTTTTGCAGGATTATGAATATGCGAGCTACAACCACGTAGCTTTTGATATTGCCAATCATTTTTGTGAGATGGCTGCGGACTATCATACTGAAACCCCACATGTCCTGGACTACAGTAAATATCCGGGTACTTATTTTCTTTAGCATCAATCACTCGATCTTTGCTAATATGCCTCGTGTTTAAATTGTGTTGAAATAATGGTTTTTTGTTTTGCCCCCTACCCAGATTTAGAGGAACGTCGAAGATTCTTGTGTACCTATTTGAGTGCTTCAGGTAACTACTACTTCCAAATTCCATATATTTTTACCATCGACGATCACCTTGCAGCTGTTTACTTTCCCGGTCTGGCTTTCACATAATGATGAGTTCTTTAGGCATGAAAAATAACAGAATGAAACAGTAATTCCACAAATGCTAAGTTGCACCACAATATATTAACCTGATAAGAATTTGTTGCACATTGACTAATTAATGCCTTAATTTATTTTCTACAGTTTTTTCTCGATCCGTTACTGTTAATTGTTTAACAATGGTTCTGACCCGAAATGTTAGAGTTTTGTGCAGGCAATAAACCCAGTGACAGAGAGGTGGATCATTTACTTCGGGAAGTGGAGAAGTACACTCTTGCAAGCCATCTCTTTTGGGGCTTATGGGGAATAATCTCGGTACGTAATCCAAACTTCTTTTGTCAGTGAACGTTTTCAGATTCGCTTCCCTCCCTATATTTCTTGCTCAGACCAATAAATAAAAATTCAACAAAAAATAAAATGCATTTTGCTGGAGTTTGATTTCATCAGTTTTACCTTGCATTTTCAGGAACATGTCAACAAAATCGATTTCAACTATGTCGAATATGCAAGACAGAGGTTTCAACAGTATTGGAAAAGGAAATCTGAAGTGCTGGCATAGCTGATGGGCGACATTAATTTTCTGCAGAAAAAGTTGTAAGATACAAATTCATACAAAGACGAGTGTTTAAAGTAGGTTGAATGATTGATGGTATGTTAGAAGTGTACCAAATCTATGAACTGTAATGGCTTAAAGGAAATGTTCTGGCAGTAAACCCTATGGCTAGGTACACGGTTGCTCTCGAGAAAAATTCCTTTTTCTTTTTTTCTTTTTTTTTGCTCTAAAGTTTTTATGAACACAGGTGATAAGAATTCTTGTTCAGTGAATACAAATTTGCATTCCCTTTACCTGCTTTGTATGAGTGGAAATAAGTCGAGAAAACACTGGGTTCAGTCTAGTTATATTGATTTCCAGTTGGGGTTATATTTTGTTGTCTTTTCCGCACATTTTTCTTAGCTAGGACTTATCAATTTATATTCTTTTTAGTACTTTTATTGTTTTCCCGGTATTATATCAGCATAATTATGTATTAAGATGAATAGCAGGCAACAGCATATATTACAAGATGTTGTTGGTCTTGTATTCGCTGGGATAACTATTAGACCTACATACTTTTTCTTTTTCCACAAATATGCATAAACAATTTCATACTTAAAAATAACAACAAAAGATATAATAGCACATGTATTTATAATGAACATGCCTCACACAAGAACTTGCGTACAAGTTTCACGACACTATTTGATATGTTGCCAAATTGAGTTATTTTATTATTGGACATATTATCAAATTGAGTTAAAAACGCACATAACTCTAGTTTTTGGGTAAATTTCCAGTTTTGTTGGAGTTTTGCAGCTTCTAGCACTATTATACGAGACGAGCCACTCGTGAGTTTAGTTCGTCTAGTTAAATAATAAAAAAGTTTGATTAATCTTGTTAAGGTCCGGAATAATATTTTATTTTATGTAACTCAATTTATTAATATTCATGTCCAACTCGTTAATATTGATAAATGAGCATGGCTCGAGTTCGTTTATCAACTTGTTTAGTTAACAACTCGGCTCCACTCATGTACACCTAGGATCTCTATTCGGCTCGACTCATTTACAATAACATTACATTAGAAATAGGCATTACCGCAAGAAAGAAATACATAAACTGATTAAAGACCATATTTCCCCTATTTTCGTTCACTCTCTTTTCGTTTTTTTCCTTCCCAAGCACAATAGAAGAAATCATTAAGAGGGAATAGTGGAAGTTAGTTAGAACCGCCCAAATAAATTCGAGAAAAAGCCTCTAATCAGTGTTGTTATTTGCACATTAGAAGTAAATAAATAGCTGTGCACGCTGAAAAATCACATTTCCAATAATCTCAAGAAAACTGATCGATTCAACTTACATGGCAAATTCCCTCTCTCTCATCCTACTCTTAGCCACACTCATAACAGCCGCCGCCGCCCCCATCCCCGCCAACAAAACCCGCACACCCCCCAAACCCACACTTTCCCCACCCACAGCTCCACCGCCGCGAACGCCCTCTCCTCCGCCACCCGCGCCGCCGAAGCCGGCGGAGATCCAAGGAACGCACCTCAACAACATCATCGACGCCCTAATCGGCGCCGGCGACTTCGCCGGCTGGGCCAACCTCCTCTCCGGTTCAGACCCACAGTCCCTCCCCCTCACCGCAACCTTCTTCATCCCCGGAAACGACGCCGTCTCCAACCTCTCCGCCGGCGCCGGCGCAACGCCCCTGGACGCCTTCCTCATCCCCTACCACATCGTCCCCCAGCGCCTCACCTTCTCCGACCTGCGGCGGCTCCCGGCCCGCACGCGCCTCCCCACGCTCCTCCGCGCCAAGTACATCGTCGTCACCAACAGCTCTCCCGAGAATTTCGCCGTCGACGGCTCGCAGGTGACCCACCCCGACGTTTTCTTGAACTCTGTTTTCTCGGTGCACGGCGTCAGGAAGCTCCTTGATTACTCTGTCTACGGCGACGGCAGCATCCCTTCTCCTCCACCGCCGCTGCCGCCGCCGTCGCCGTCCGCTCATGGGCCGCCGGAAGGAAAAAGCCCTTCTTTTCCCGGCGAGGTTAATGTGATATCTGGTGCCTCTTTCTTGTGCAGTTGTGTTTGGATGATTTTTCCGGTGGCTCTTTGTGCTTCTCTTCTTCTGCTCGAGATTTATTGGGAATTTGTTTGAATGAAAAACAGTGTGAAACTGAAATTGTTGAGGGTTTGGTTAGGGTTTTAAGTCTGCTGGTGAATTGATCCTTGACCGTAAAAATCTGATCTTTTAGTTCCCACAATTGGGATTTGATTTTCTTGGTTTTTGAAATTGTTAAGGGGTTTTGTTAGGGTTGTAATAAGTCTCTGCTGGTGAATTACTATCTGATTTCTGTACAAATCTAATCTTTAGTTTCCATAGTTGAGATTTGAATTTTTCTTGGTTTTTTTCTTGCACTATTGATGTTGGTTTCTTGGGAAAATTGCATTTTAGGTGAAAAATGTGATCTTTTGCAATAGAATTTGTTCCTTCATGGCTTCAATTCAAAGTTTAGCCTCTTTTTGTTTTTATTTTTATTTTTATTTTGAGTTGAACATTGTTTTGTTTTGTCATGGCAATTCTTGGTTTCATTTTAAACATTACTAGTATTCATAAGTATTTTGTTGGTTGAAATGCATTTACATTATAAAAAAATTAAAGACTAACAAAATGAGAAAAAAATTCACTTCATATATTTGCACATTTCCAAAATGAACAAAAAAGTATACACACAGAGCCAAGATATAGAAACTAAAATGCAAGAGAATATGAACTCAGACTCTTATAGTAAACCATGACTACAGTTAGAGTTAGTTTGTGCAAGAGTATGATCTTTCAATGAAGGCCTTTTCAAAGAA